ATTATTATCATTATTATTATCATTATTATTATTATTATTATTATTATTATTATTATTATTATTATTATTATTATTATTATTATTATTATTATTATTATTACCTATTATTATTATTGTTATTAATTTATTATTGTTATTAATCATAACATTATTTCACTCCTAATCTTTTTCTTGAAAATTGTTCCATTTCTCATTTACTCCATTAATTTAATCACCCAAAATACAATAAAAGATATAGAAAAAGTGGAATGATTGCAGAAGTTGAAGCAGCATGTCGCATTCTTGGTGTTAAAAAGAGCACCCTTATTGATGCTTTAACTCAACCATCGATAAAAGTAAACGATGTAGTGATCCGAAAGAGTCAAAATCTTGCAAAGGTTCTGTAATTTGTTAATTTTTAAGTTTAATTTTTTTAATTACTTAATGATTTCACCGGAAAAAAAAACAAAATCGCTTAGTTGTTGTAATTTTTCAATGAACTCAAATAATCAAAATAAATTTAATTTACCTATTGAAAGTATAAAAATTTACGAATTAAATTACTGTTTGATTGTTTTTAAGAATTAAAGCTTAAAAAATTATTATATCATAATTTTTCAGACCTTAAGTTCACTATCCGGATTATGTAAAACTATCTATGAGCGCCTCTTCAATTGGATTTTATCACGATGCAATTCAGCATTGAGTGAAGCATTTCATCGTAAGCAATTCTATTAGGCGAGTACAGAAAATTTTTAATGAAAGAATCCGGTTATTACATCCGGAAATATCGATGGCTTAGAGAAGTTTGAAATAAAGAGAAAAGAAAAAAAATATGCAACAGATGTTGTAATTCTTTCAATTTCATAAATCTTTTGTAATAAACATTATTAAATTTTTATTATGCTAAAATTGTTCAGCTAGTAAGTCAACGCGAACTTATTATATTGGTGTGCTTGATATTGCTGGTTTTGAAATCATTAAAGTAAGCATTATCATTTCATTTTGTTAATTATCGAAATTTTTTTTTTTACTTTTTAATAATCTTATCAAATTACTTCTAATTTTTTTTTTTGATTTACGAAATTTTAGAATCATTAAAATTTTATTTTCAAAATATACAAATTGATGAATTATCATTTATAATTAATGCATACCTTTCAATAAATTAGTACAACGAAATTTTCCATCAAAAATTTTGCTTTCCTTTTATGATCATATGTAATTAATTCTATATTAATGATCTTAATTATTTAATTTGTTATAGCTATTAAAATATCAGTAAAACATATCTTTCCAATATTTAAATTACTGTATGCAGGATAAGATAGCATATAGTTTTTTTGTTTGTCTTTTTTTTTCCCCCCCCCCCGGAAAGATGTTCATGATTCTGAAGTTTTATACTATTCCGTTAAATTACTCCGTTAATTGAGCTATAAATTTGAAGCTATTTGTTAATTATTAAAATATTCCTTGTTTTAGATGAATAGCTTTGAGCAATTTTGCATCAATTATACGAATGAAAAATTGCAACAATTTTTCAATGATTTCATGTTTATACGTGAACAGCAAGAATATTTAAATGAGGGAATTGAATGGCAATATGTTGATTACGGTACTGATATGCAAAATACCATCGAATTTATTGAAAAGGTTTTCCACAAAGCTAATTGATATACTTATCCCAATTTATGTAATTAATTTCATTTTTAATTATTCCGTTACATTCCTTCTTTTTTTCTTTTTCTTTTTCCGTTTTTCTTTCTTTTTTTTTAAAAAAAAAAAAAAAATTCCGTTCTTCT